TCTCACACACACTCACTCACACGCACACACACACTCTCACACACACACACACACTCGCACACACACTCGCACTCACACTCGCACACACACTCACACACACACGCACACACACTCGCACACACACACACTCACACACACACACACACTCACACTCTCACTCACACACTCGCACACACTCACACACACACACACTCACACACACACTCACACACACACACGCACACACACACACACACACATAAACAACTATTAGAGAAACACTGTTTTGTTTGTGTCTTTCAGCTTCAGAAGAGAGAACGGACTTGTCGAGCATTTATTCAGGTAATCACACAGCACACAGTTGTGCAAACATGCGTGTCTCTATGTACGCCGCTCACGTGTGTGTGTGTGTGTGTGTGTGTGTCAGGCGGTGGTGCAGACGGTGGATAATCTGTTGCGTTTGGAGGCGCTGGAGTCGTGGCAGGACATGAACTCTACAGAACAGTCACACACCGCCACCATGCTGCTCGACGTCATGGAGAAAGGAGCGTTTCTATTGGCTAATAACCTGTACGGAGGTCACTTCAGCGACCGCGCGCCAAACATCGGTACGGCTCATGCTGCCTCATATACACAAACATCCAGAAGTCTGGGAACCATTTCTTCTGCTCAGCAAGGCTGCATTTATTTGATCAAAAATACAGTAAAAACTGTAAAATATTATTATGATTCAAACAGCTGTGTTCTCTGTGAATCTCTGTTAAGCTGTAATGTATTTCTGTGATGTGCAGCTGTATTTTCAGCATCATTCCTCCAGTCTTCAGTGTTCAGTATAATATGCTGATCTGCTGCTCGAGAAACATTTCTGATTATTATCAACAATATTTTTGTGGAAACTGTGATGCATTTTATTTTTCAGGATTCACAGATGAACAGAAAGTTCAAAAGAACAGCATTTATTTGAAATAGAAATATTTTGAAGCATTATAAATGTCTTTACTTTTGATCAATTCCATGCATCCATGATGAATAAAAGCATTAATATCTTTAAATAAATTATTATATAAGGTAACAATATAACATGATCACAAACATCATTTTTTTTAAATAGCAGAATTACTGTTACTTGAGAAAGTCAAATTACATGATAATAAAATGTACAAATTAAATAATTTATAAACTACACAGAACAAAATCTAATTATGTAATTGTGTGTTAACTGCATCAAATACATTTTATATAACAATATACAATTTTTTACAACATCTATTAGTCTTGGTTAATACTTTATACATTTTTTTAAAGTTATATAAATTAACATTAGTCTATTATGAACACACAAAAATTAACAATGAAAAGTAGTATATTTTTTAACATGCATAACTAATGTCAACAATAATATTAGATTATAATGAAGTAAAAACTGTAAAATATTATTATGATTCAAACAGCTGTGTTCTCTGTGAATCTCTGTTAAGCTGTAATGTATTTCTGTGATGTGCAGCTGTATTTTCAGCATCATTCCTCCAGTCTTCAGTGTTCAGTATAATATGCTGATCTGCTGCTCGAGAAACATTTCTGATTATTATCAACAATATTTTTGTGGAAACTGTGATGCATTTTATTTTTCAGGATTCACAGATGAACAGAAAGTTCAAAAGAACAGCATTTATTTGAAATAGAAATATTTTGAAGCATTATAAATGTCTTTACTTTTGATCAATTCCATGCATCCATGATGAATAAAAGCATTAATATCTTTAAATAAATTATTATATAAGGTAACAATATAACATGATCACAAACATCATTTTTTTTAAATAGCAGAATTACTGTTACTTGAGAAAGTCAAATTACATGATAATAAAATGTACAAATTAAATAATTTATAAACTACACAGAACAAAATCTAATTATGTAATTGTGTGTTAACTGCATCAAATACATTTTATATAACAATATACAATTTTTTACAACATCTATTAGTCTTGGTTAATACTTTATACATTTTTTTAAAGTTATATAAATTAACATTAGTCTATTATGAACACACAAAAATTAACAATGAAAAGTAGTATATTTTTTAACATGCATAACTAATGTCAACAATAATATTAGATTATAATGAATTATACTAGATTTAATGCTAGTTGTTTTTAAAGAGCAAACGTGTGTGTGTGTGTGTGTGTGTGTGTGTGTTTTCAGATCTGGAGGTGTATGTGCTCAACACAGAGATGGAGCTGAAGGATCTGTTTTTCCCGAACTCGTATGACAGCGACAGCACCATCCAGGTGTCGTCATCCACCATCAAACAGTACAGCCGCAACGGTCAGTCTCTCTCTCTCTCTCTCGCTCTCCGTCTGTCTGTCTCAGTCGTTCTCAGACGCTCACACTCTTCACTAGGTTTCTCTGCGCCACACGTATCCGGGCCGGTTCGCTCGGCGTTGCCATGGCAGCAGTCCCCATGGTCACCGGCTCCTGTGGCTGTTGCCGTGGTGACGCACATGTGTGTGATGAGCTGTGTGGGATCGGCAGTATCCATCGCAGCTGAACGTGTAGATCTGACCGTGTGACGTGTGTGTGTGTGTGTGTGTGTGTGTGGCTCCATCAGGTCAGGTGAAGGTGGTTTTCACGCTCTATAAGAACCTGGGCTCGTTCCTCTCCACTCAAAACGCCACGGTGAAGATGCGCGGCGAGTCTGGAGGACACAGTCTAGCCGTCAACTCCCACATCATCTCTGCCTCCATGAACAAAGAGTCCAGCCGCGTGTTTCTGACCGATCCTGTAGAGTTCACGCTGAGCACAGGCGCTTAACCCTTCACACGCCGCATGTGTCAGTCATTCACGCTCTGTTGTTCTCTCGGTGCCAGTATCCCGGCGGCGTTCAGGGTCTGATCCTGTTCGTCATCACGTGGGTGGGGATGGTGATCTCTCTGGTGTGTCTGGCTCTGTGTATCTCCACCTTCTGCTGCCTGCGAGGCCTTCAGAGCGACCGCACCACCATCCACAAGAACCTGTGCCTCACGCTCTTCATCTCACAACTCCTCTTCCTCATCGGCATGGATAAGACACACTATACCGTGAGTTCACGAGGACCAGACCTTAACAGACCACATTAGACTAAACCAGACAAACATCAGACCAAACAAAACTATATCAGATTAAACCAAACCTCATCAGACCAAACAATCAACCTAAATCAGACCACACCAGACTAAACCAGACACACATCGGTCCTAACATGACTTTATCAGACTAAACCAGACCACATAAGATTACATTAGACTAAACCAGACAACATCAGAGCAAACAACACTTTATCGGACTAAACCAGACCACACTAGAGTAAACCAGGCTACACCAGACCACATTAGACTGAACCAGACACACGTCGGTCCCAACAAGACTTAATCAGACGAAATCATACCACACCAGATCACATTAGAGTAAACCAGGCTACGTCAGACCGCATTCACCTAAACCAGACCATGTCAGACCTAACAAGACTTAACTCTACACCTTAATCAGACGAAAACAGACCACATTAGACTGAACTAGACACACATCGGTTCTAACAAGATTTTATCAGACTAAAACAGACCACACCAGATCACATTAGAGTAAACCAGGCTACACCAGATCAGCTCAGCAGTGAAGTGTTCATGCGTCAGGTGTGTGTGTGTGTGTGTGTGTGCAGGTGGTGTGTCCGGTTCTGGCCGGTCTGCTGCACTTCTTCCTGCTGTCAGTGTTCTGCTGGCTCTGCATGGAGACGGTGCAGCTGTACGTGCTGATGGTGGAGGTGTTTGAAAGCGAGACGTCTCGTCGTAAGTACTACTACCTCTCCGCGTACGGCTTCCCCACGCTGGTGGTGGCCATTTCCACCGCCATCGACTACAGGAGCTACGGAGGACCCAAAGCGTGAGTGTGTTTCCATCTGCAGGACTCGCAAGTCCTGACATCGGTGTGTTTGCGTGTGTGATTTCTCTCTCTTGTGTTGTGCAGTTGCTGGCTGAGGGTGGATAACTACTTCATCTGGACGTTTATTGGCCCCGCCTCCCTCGTTATCCTGGTAGGAGTCATTTTAATGCATTGGTTTATAAATCAATGCATCAATTTCAAACACATCACCTTTCTGTTAGTTTCTCTCTCTCTGTGTAATCAAAATATTTGTAATTTATATTTCTAATGTATGCTTATTTGAATACACTGATATTTATTTCTTTGAGTTATTATAACTGTTTTAAGTACTATTCTAAGTTCCATTTCCATTATGATAAATGTCTTATCCTTTTATTTGACCAGACTGACAAACCTTAGCACATATGTATGCACATGAAAAATTTTTATAATATTACGATTTTTTTTTTTAATAATGTTTATTTATTTACAATCAAAACATTTTTATTTTAATTAAAAAAATATTTGTAAGTGTATGCAGCTATTATATACATACACGCAGAACACACTTTGAGTACTGTAGCATATCCCACAATGCAATGTGCTCAACGAGACCCTCTGTTTCCAGGTTGAATGTTTTGACTCATTATTTGACCAGACTGACATGTTTACACAAAATTGGATTAAAATGCATAATAACTTTATTTGTGAGTGGATACATGGAGGCCACTTGCTGGAATGAGCATCTTCTGAGTGTTTTCTGCTCTCTTAAGAGCCCGTCTGACCTTTGACCTCTTGTGTGTAGCTGAACCTGGCAGTGCTGGTCATCACCATCCACCGCATGCTGCGACACTCCACTGTGCTGAAGCCAGACTCCAGCCGATTCGACAACATCAAGTAAGAATGCAGGGGTCAGGGGTCACACTCAGTTCCTCGGCTACAGCACATAATATTTACTCCTGATATCTGTTTAGAGAAATGTTCATTTCAAGCACTCAAACTGACCAAAAAAATAACAGGGACCAAATTGTTTAAGATTTTTATTATTTAAATTGCAAAGTTATTTCATTTATTTTTTTATTATTGTTTTTATGAAATCAGGTTTTATTGAACTGCAGTGGACACTTGTGTTATTTTAGTCTAATTTCTATACCATCTTTGTATTTAATAATATTTAGAATTAGTTTTTGTTTTTATATTTTTCACTTTCATCTTAGTTAAAGTTTTAGTCATTTTGTTGTGCATTTGTTTTTTATTTTTTTAAAAAGTGTTTAATTTTTATGACATTTTAGTTGTAGTAATTTTAATTTTATAGGCATTTTTATTAGTTTTAGTTTTTTTTAAAAGCATGTCTATTTAGTTTTATTCATTTTTATTTCTGTTTTAGTTGTAGTAATTTAGTTTAATTTAATAGGCTTTTTTATTTGTTTTTGTTTTTTCCATTTAGTTTTTATTCATTTTATTTTAGTTTAATAGGCTTTTTTTTTTAAACATGTCCGTTTAGTGTTTATTCATTTATTTTTCAGTTTTAGTTGTGGTAATTTCATGAAAATTAGATTTTTGACTTTTGCAACTAACTGAAATCAAATGAAGTGTAAGGTTTTTTTGTATTCTGTTTTGTTTCGGTTAGCATTAAATGTATTCAGTTTACAAATGTTTTCCAGTATTTTTTGTTTTATTTAACGGCATCACGAGAGCATTGGTAACGCTGTGTGTCTGTGTGTGTGTGTGTGTGTGTTTCTGTGTGTGTGTGTCTGTGTGTGTGTGTGTTTCTGTGTGTGTGTGCATGTGTACGTGTGTGTCTGTGTGTGTGTCTGTGTGTGTGTGTGTGTGTGTGTGTGTGTGTGTCTGTGTGTGTGTGTGCGTGCGTGCGTGTGTGTCTGTGTGTGTGTGTGTGTGTGTGTGTGTGTGTGTGTGTTGAGGTGCTGGACGCTCAGCTCTGTCACGCTGCTGTTACTGGTGTCTCTGACGTGGATCTTTGGCCTCCTGTTCATGAACGACAGCAGCGTGGTGATGGCGTACCTCTTCACCTCCTTCAACGCCGTGCACGGCATGTTCATCTTCCTCCTGCACTGCGCGCTGCAGAAGAAGGTGCGTGGCTGATTGTGGCTGTTTCTTCATGTGTTTGTCCTCCTGACCTGCTTTCACACGCAGCGCTGTGTGTTTAACAGGTGCAGAAAGAATACAGCAAATGCTTGCGTCAGTCGCCCTGCTGTGGCCACGCCTCCTCCACCGGTTCCCACGGTTCCCTCAAGAGCTCCGCCCACAGAGGCAACAATCGCTACTATGGCGGCAGCCAATCACGACATGCGCCAGCACAAAGACAGGTAACGCACACGTGGGCGTCTGTCCCAAATATCAGCCTTACAGGAATTTGCACACCTGTGGTTTAAATCTCACCCGTGTGTGTGTGTGTGTGTGTGTATGTGTGTGTGTGTGTGTGTGTTTGTGTGTGTGTATGTGTGTGTGTGTGTGTGTGTGTTTGTGTGTGTTTGTGTGTTTATGTGTGTATGTGACCAGTTTATGTGTTTATGTAGGATGTTAGACCAGTTTATGTGTTTATGTCGTATGTTGGACTAGTTTAAGTGTTTATGTAGTTAATAAA